TTACACTCAAAGACTTCTGTTTTTGCCCTCTTCTTGTCATGTTCTTTCTTGGGGGACTCGCACAAGGCGTAATTAGACGGTGACATCTCGGCCTTGGCTACCGTTAAAACAGACTCTTCGCAATCTTTCTAATGCATACCGTGAACTTATCTCCCCCTCCCCACGCTGACCCAGCGCATATCACGTGCGGCCCGTTGTAGGAGCCACCTCGGACAGGTAATAGCATCAAAAAACTACAATTTTGACACGCAGTGTAGGAGCAGGTGAATGGAAAGTGGTACGGCCTATAACTCCCTATAAAACTGTCAAATTGGGAGCGATTCCTAGGTTTCATCCGCACTGCCCCCAAAAATACGGAACTTCGGGTGGAATGGTACCACAGCCAAAGACTTACCGGACAACATATTTTTTGTATCTAACGAGCCCCACTTAACTCACGTGCTGAAGTCTCTTGTGGTTGTGAAGCCAGGCCAGATATACTGCTAACGAGGATAAGCATGCTAGGTAAGACTGTGATTTGCGGCTTTAGCCAAGTAGTTTCTTACGACCGCTCGTTCTCAGCCCTCCACTCGTTGACTCCCACACGGAAAATCTACAGAGGCTTTATTTGTTAAAACTGCAGACGCTAAACAAAATATATGTACATTTTGAGGCCACCATTCCATCCAGAGTCCATGCCAGTAACCTGTTCCTCATCCCCTAGGCAACCAATCCTTTTGTGCCTCACAAAAATATAAACACAAAAGCCAAAAGTGACTGCTGACGGTGGAGGTAGAGGAACAATGACCACCTGTCTAGCCCTGGTTATTTGCCTTCATTATCCTCACAATAACAAAACCACAGCGTTCCCCCAAAGAATGTCTTGGCCGGGGAAAACCTGAGCAATGGTTACTTGGTCTAGCATGTTTTTAGGGTAGTCTTAGACGGACTTACTAATCGCCACTGGCATCCACGTTGGCCAAACAATTTTGCCGGGAACTTTCCCTCCCCCTAGGACTGAAAATATTGCCCAAAAGTAGGCAAAAAATATCACAGTATACCGATGTGGGGGGGAGCAGCATTAAGATGAAACGTTTTGTACCAATTGAGTGGCTAGCCAATTTGCTAGCGAAAAAATGCCCACCCTCCCTCACCGCCCGCCCGCACGTTGACTTGCTTTGCATCACGTGGGACTGCAGACCACAAAACGCCCTATTATTCCGTCATCCGGCACGGCGCTGGTGGTTTCTTATTTTGACAGAAGCAGTCCTCATCAGGTGGGTTGTGTGCGCGAGTGAAGGGCGCGAATGCGTGACCAGACTGATCGATGTTAGTTTGAACTAATCAGCAAACGCCATATTAACGTCAGAAGTCAAAGCTGCTGATCCATCGTCCTCTTGCCTCCAAACATCCGACATTGCAAAATTCGGCCCTACTCAAACCATAGCCAGGCTCCATTTTTTGCGAGCAACTAATGTAAATACGTGACCAAGCTGAGGATCAAACCGCTTCACTAAACCAACCCGTTGGGGGGAATCGACGCCCAGAAAAATCTTTAGGATGTCCGAGCTTTTTAAATTGAGCCACCATTTTTTGTGCTCTGCACTTGCACGTAAAGTTTTTTATATGTGTAGTAGTCGCCGAAAATCACGCAACATGCCGACATATGAGAAAGATTGATACTCTTTCGCTAATCGGCATTGCTCAGGTTGTGATACTGATTATTGTGCTAGTCTATTCTGAAGTCATTTCAGTCAGGATAGGATGCGCGCTTTTTAACGATAAGTCATTTCAGTCATGGTAGGATGCGGGCTTTTTAAAGAGCTTCGTTCTGACCACTAGCAAAACGTATCTACTGTAAAAACGGGCTACTTAAGTAGTATGCCTTTTATCATTTCTTTTGACTGTCTGTATAAATTCAAATATATTTTATGGAAAACGTGCACAAAAAATTTTTCTTGTACTTGTTTGATAGCAAATCACGCCTCTTTAAATTTTTGGTTTTTTAAACCGAAAGATACGTTTTCTTTGAGTAAACAATTTAAAGAAGGCGTAATTTGCTATGAAACAAGTACAATAAATATTTTTTTTGCGCATGCTTTCCATAAAATATATTTGAATTTATAAAGGCAGTCAAAAT